CATAATGGCGGTGCAGAAGGGGGTACCGTTTGACACCAAATCCTGCTAGAAAAGAAGGACCGAAAAAATGACTTTAAGGTAGAGTGAAGTGTTCAACATTAAAAACGTTGTGTGGATGGGGGTTTTATGAAAAAAGCAAGACGCCGATAAGTTTACACGAAAAGTAGCAAGAAAAAAAGCGCTCGTATTTCGCCCCTAGATATATAAGCGTATTTGTGGACCCTAGAGTCATCTTGATCACATTCCCTGTAAAATATTATTCTATGTTTTTACGGAATGGTAGACGTCCATCGCAACCCTTGCTTCCCGCTGAATTAATGAGATTAACCCGGGTGTATTTTAAACCAACCTTGAGGTATGCTCAAAACTCTCAAAAGACTGCGATACTGGGTTTATCACAATAAAAAAACTTAACAGCAGGTGAAGTGTGACCAGTACAAACGTATGTCTAACATAACAGCAGCCACGTCATGTTTTCGTATTTCACGCTCTCGAGAATGTTCGATGTGATGTTCTTGCCGTAAACCACAAACCGAAGATTGACACAGGCAGATACATGCTTACGACACAACCTACGCCCAGAACACAGAAATTGGAAACTTGGAGCATTTTTCATGTCTGTCTGGATCGTTGGAAAGGTTGAAGCGCCACCAAATGAAAATAATATAGTTCAAAGCTAAAAGAAAGGAGAAATTAAAAGAACTCAGCAGCATTGAGGAATGAATATAAGGTTCACTTTAGATAAAACCTACCATCCTCATTTTTCCTGCGAAATTTTAGCCACGATGCAATAGCTCTTACTGACGATTAAAATGTTAACATTTTGCGGCACATTCTAGTAAAAAAAGTCATGTCATTTTTTATTACACTGATAATCTTGTAAGTCGACTTGGCCACACCGAGACCATTGGCAGCCTCTGTTCAGAGATGTTTTTACCACATTTTGACGTCTTCTGTGATATATTATTTTACAGACCCACAGCAACGTAGAATCGATTTTCTAATTGTAGAGATGACGAAAGGTTGTTAATAATGATGTCATCTATGCGTTTGTCTTCCAACAGAACATAAGTAGTACCAATAAAATGCTTGTATAATTCAGCTTATCGTATAATTTTATATGAGTAGCATATATAATTATATATGATAATAAGTCCACTTAGGAAAACACACCTGAAAAGAAACTCTCAGAAGCTTACACTAGGTTGTTCAACAGTATTCAAATCAGACGGCATATCCAATGCGATGCACACGCAGATCATCAAACAAGCCATAGCTGTTGCTACACTAGCACTGACGGCGATCCCTCAGAAGTGCTTGGGCGTTCCCAGCCACGAGTATGGCAGCAGAACAGCAAAACAAATCACGAGTAAAATACGCAATTCGCCGGTTTTCCCAACATCAGCCACGTGCAGATTGACAAGATTTGCCAAGTTTCCCGCCGCCAGGATCAAAAACACTACACACACCCCTAATCATAATATCAAAACAGTAACGTCAGATAAAACCTAAACATCTCATTGTCCAAGCGTGGATGTTTGTTCCAGATGTAAAAATTTTAGTTTCGGAGCCTTATCAAAGACATCGAGGTTGACCAATGTTTCTCATGGTATTGATGCGAAGCTATGTTTTGCTGCACGAGAGTTGAAAAAGAGGATTTAACTCATATTTACCTTTTGATTTACTACCCTTTACAAAAGTGATGGAACCCAGCATTTTTGCTCTCAGGAGAACGTAAGATAAGTGCCATAAGGCAGCACCACCTCCGTTTGAACCCCTTAAATCTAAAGATGTGACAGGCAATTTTCTTTCTCAGCTGTCACACATTTCTGTGCATAAAATTAGTTAAGAGGATTTAGTTTTTCGATCATATTCTCTAACCAATCAGCGAAAGTACTCCTATGTTTCAAGGAGATTTTTTCATGTCAAGAAAACACTCCTGAAAGTCAGAGGGAACTGTTTTGAGTAAGTGTGGAAGATTTCAGGCACGGAGAGAATAATGATGAAGGAAAGGATGGGGCGAAATATTAGCTATAGACTTAATACAATTGAAAGTACAACTGTTATTTCTTTCCTTTGAGACTTGTAGTGCAGAATGAACCTCTTTCGCCAAAATGCAAACGCCGTATAGGGTTAGGGGGTGGGGAAGTAAAGGGATATTGACCGCGATGATATACCTAACATTTGCCCCACAAGACACTGGTATACCTTAAAATTGTAAGGAGTCACACGAAAATTTCCTCGGCCTGATTGTGACGCCGTGAAGGCACATCAGAACGATCTTTCGTAGCAGTCACCTGCATTTTAGTGAATGACACTGGATTCTCTAGAGATTATCAACCTGCTTATAAGTTGTCCTGTAGGGATGATGAGCACAAAAACGTCGGTGATTTCTCTTTCGCGCGGGATGCTTATGCAAATCAAGTCACAACCTCGGTCCTGTTTCTCAGGGAGGAGAGGTCCTGGGAACGAAGCAAAGCGGAGTTCAAAATGGCTATTTGATTGCTAAACCTGATATGAACTGTCTCACACGACTCTTTAAGTAAGTAACATATTTAGAAGTGGGAACCCAAAAGCAATTTTTAGAAAATTCACTTGGGGCATTAGACTCAAAAATAATCGAGCAAGCAAACGTCATCTTCGTGAATCACATCATGTAAAATAGAGTAAATACTCAAGGCCTAGGTGGAGGAAACACTTTAAAAACTCACTGCCTCGCATGTATGTATTATAATAAAGCAATTATTGATTGATAACCCTGCAGCGAAGGATGATGCATGTGTTCAGTCCCTTGGAAGCGTCTCCTGTTGCTCCCTAAAAGTTTCCTGGCACCCGCTTCCGTGTTCAATTTCTAAATTTAAAAATCTCTAGTTAATCAATAAGCATTTCATTTCAATGTTATTTTCAGTACTGTATCGATCAGTGTGATGTTGATGCAGACAGTCACAGCCAATGATGCTCATCTTCCATAAGCATTTTCTCCGATTGCTGGGTACGGGGACCGTACGTGTTCGTTGTACTCGCTATGCCTCTTAAGAAGAGTCGCCCACGATCTCCCAAGAACCGTTCCACATGATAGACATGAAAGCGTAACTTGTTTTCGTCACGCAATCTTCATAAATTACATGTATTTGACAAGTGCCTGATAAGTGCTTGAAATTAACACAATCTTTTCTGTTGACAGGAGAATGACTTTGACACAAGAGATTGGACTGAGAGATGTTTTGATACCATTGGAATGCGTAATCCATTTGAACTCAGAGCTGAAGATCTCCCAGAGCAGCCAAACTACTTCACTTGTGCCTTCAGAAAAGACAAACTTGACAAGTACGTTTTCTTTGTTAACCAATTAAATTTGTTAACCATTAACCAAATGGTTATGGTTAACCGTGATGATTTCTTCAAAAGTGCTCAGCGAAGCAGAATTGTAAGTGATTCCTGTAACACAGGATGTTTACTTTGAACTCAACTTTATCATGACAACATTACAAGTCTGATAGTTTTACAGTCATGTATGTCTTGTAGTACCTGCTAATTGGTAGGTCTTCTACTCACTAAACAATGACCAAATGTTATATTCATCCTTTGCCTGATTTATAAAATAGTATACTCAGGTAACAAATCTCAGACAGAGATGGCAAAACAAATAGAAGTACAGTAAATATTGATGTTCAATTGCAAGCACGTTCACAGAATTTTGACAAGAACACAGTATGGTGAGAAGAGGAATCAGATTGGTAAAAATGAAGCAATCTTAATCAAAACTATACTTTATTTCAATGACTAGCATTAAAAATTTGGGGCCCTTTACATTAGGAAGAGAAATATATTTTTGTCAGTCATTGAACAATAAGAATATTGCCACCTACAGGGAATTTAAAGGTACATGTCAGTTTTCTCTGATAACAGCAAGACTCTTTGAAGTATTCTCTTTTGTATTACTTTTAATTATTGATGTCAGCTTATTATACTGATTTTGCAGTATATCATGTATCACATTGTGTATGGTGTGATCAGAAACTTATACCTAACATAATGTAGGTGCATATCCTTGTCATTTATGCATCTTTGTAATATGATATTAGGCATTGGATGCTTAATTGGCAATGGATCTTATGCTGCAGCTTATCCCTTACACAAGGTAAAAAATTAATTGCAAGTTTTGTTTTGTTTTGTTTTTTTGTCTTCAGTGTAACAACTCCTTACTGTGAAACTTAAAAAGTGTCCAAGAAATTTACTATGGTATAATTTGATGGATCACTGCAATTTACAATGATTTCTCTAGGTTTAAAAAATGAGCAGTTCCTGAATGATAGTCCTTTAGAAAAGAATATCATAGGCTTTGAAACTTCTCAGAATTTAGAGTGACTGAAAACAGAGACTTGAAGGGCAGTGGTGAACAAATTTAAGGGCCCTCATATTTGCATATTTGCACATGATTATTAAGTTGAAGGCCCAAGAAGGCTGACATACAGTTATATCATACAAAACTTAAAATTAAAAACCTTGTCTCCTGTCAGGAATTAAAGGGACATGGAAAAGCTAAACAAAGCTATATAGGTCATGGTTCATTTTTTGTAAGTGCACTCCATCTGGTTGAATGATCCCATGCAAGGGACTGGCCAGAGGAAAAGGTAACATACTGCATCAGTTTTCTCAAAGTGATTTGGAGTCTAATAATGATATTTTCCTTGAATCAAAAATTATGTCAGGTTGCTTGAAAAGGATTCAGCCAAATGTTGGCAAAGTTAGCCAACTGTGTTTTCTTGTCATTTATTTCAGAAAGTACAGTAAGGCATTCTCGTGAGATCAAAATTTTAAAATGAAAATTTAATACAAAGAAGGAATAACATCAAACAACTACATGTCCATATGTTTAGTCAAGTGAGAGTTGGACAATGGATGTCTTGATCCAGGGAACATTTAGCTTGTTGTACATGGGGAGCTATTCAGACTGATACATGTACATTGTACATGTATATAATAGTAATAGGACTAAGAGGAGTCCAATTCAGGCTGTAATTATCTAAGTGATTAACAAAATCGGATGATTGCACTGTGAAGGCATCCGTTGTACCTTTTCATCTAAAAAAAAACAACAGTTAAAGGGGCAAAATGTGAGACAATAGCATGCACATGTGACACTTTCTGTGCACTTACACAGGCATGGTGTGTTAATTGCCCTATTACACTGTCCAATTACAAGCATGATGTGTACACTGTCCTATTAGTGCTCAAACTGAGCTGGAGAACTCAAGAATTTTGTTATAGTTTTGATCAATGAAACCAGGGATTTTGAATTGCAACAAAGCATAATTGTACTTCAGGCCAATTTTCAGGGTATGCTTTTTGTTCATGACCATCAAAATAATTCAATCAGACTTGAACACAACATTTATGAAAATCATGTTGTCTTAATCATATCTAGGACAACAGTGTGTGGTTGTCAGTTGCTCATAACACACACAAAAGTAATTTTTTAGCATTTTGAAACATGTTCTTTTACCTTTAGGTGTTGAGAGTTGCATTTGATTTTTTTTTTACTGAAGAGAGGTAAAAGAGATGGATTTGGCATATGATGAGCACACTGTAATTTATAATTACTTTATCAGGGAATTTGACATGTAGAGATCTATACATTGCAAAAATTACCACAATAATGCATGGAATAACTTGATACAGTACCATCATTTTTGTATTTTACAAAGGTTGATGTAGGGCACTTATGAAAAAGATCAATACAATGATCCTCCAAGACCTGAAAATGCCAGACAGGTAATTTTTTTATTATTATTTTTAAATTAATAGACCTCGTAAGGTTAATTAGTTTTGTGTATGTTGTTTCCTGTTAAGTTTACAGTGTACATTGTGTATGTACAACTCGGACCTAATAAACTCCTAAACAAATCTATGGTATGCAGTCATTTCGTACCCATAGTTGTTTTGTACTCAATCATTTTATACTCAAGCTGGGTACAAAATGACTCAACTAACTGGGTATGACATGACTGTAGGTGTGCAACGAACGGTAACCCAATCTATGCCATCCTATTACCATCTCTTCAACTTACACTTCATCAGTTTTGTAAACTTCTTTCAAAGCTGATTTGTCATTCAAGCTACAGTTCATGTAACCTTTTTTTTCAAAGATGTAAACATCAATTCTCCATCCAGTCCACCATACAGCTTTTACAGTTTATATAATCAAACAATACTTTGTCCCCTGAAGTTTTTTCTTTCTTCTTATCACATTCCTGCTTTTAGATGTTTTAAGGTAAATTCCTATTTTGTAGGAACTTGTAAGAGGAAAATTAGAGTTGAACAAGTCAAATCACCAAAGAAAACTTTGTTTGTTTTTTCATTGAATTTTCTCCTTCCCAAATATTTTTACTTCTACCCCTACTCTTGATATTCTTCTCAAGCTTGTGTTCAGATATATCAGACTTGAAACTTTTGATAGCTTTTCTCAATATTTTGTTTTAAGTGCAGTTATAAATTTTTCTATTGCATTGTTTTTTCCAGTTTTTCAGTTGGTAATCAATGATAGTTTTATTTGTGGGTTGTTGCTATTTCAGTTGTTGTTTGACACCTGGGTTAAAGCACATCGCTGGTACAAAATGCAACCATTGGATCATATCAGGTAAAATCACTTACACAAGACTGTTTAACTCAAGGTGTGTGCATCATTTTTTGTTGTTAATAGTTGTTTTGGTTGATTATTCATTAATTTTGTTGCAGAGATTACTTTGGAGAGAAAATTGGAATCTACTTTGCTTGGTTAGGTAAATATAATTAATGACTTCAAATTTCATGTGCACTCTGATTGAAGTAAGTTATTGTTTCAGCTGTTTAATCATGGCTGCATATAATTTTTGTTTTTGGAAGAACACATATTAAAGGCTATGACTGTATTCTAGTCAGCCAATGAGACTCAAGGACATTGCACAATGCATGAAGTTTGGATGTCAATGAGGAAAACAGTGTCATCAAACAAATGTTACTCTCTTGGCTGTTTGACAGGTTTCTACACATGGATGTTGCTCCCAGCAGCCATCATGGGCCTTGTTTGTGTGATTTATGGACTTGTCAGACTGGAGTCTTATATTCCTGTGTAAGTGATGAGTTTGGCAAGGCCTATATGTGCATTCTATCATATGCAAAGGCCTTATATTCATATCAGCCGTGAAATGGGCTCATTGAGGACTGGGAATCTTAAAGTATTATTTAAAGTTGTCGTGAAATGGAACAAAAGAAAAATATACTTGGTGATACATTCACATGACTGTGCTATTTTACATAACTTTCACTATAATGTGCATCCAGTGTTTACTATTACTGCCAGTGGTAGCGTTAACAGTATTGCAATCACTGGTTTTATACTGAAAAAAAACGCAAGTCAGAGAACCAACTTTTTTTATTTTTGTGTAAAGGTGGCTTTCAGACAAGTAAAACCAACTGTATGTATGTATCTTTTGCTTTAGGAAAGACATCTGTGATACGTCTAAGAACTTTCCCATGTGCCCTCGCTGTGACAAACGCTGTCCCTACTGGTCTTTATCGGACACATGCATCTATTCAAAGGTGACTTAAAGAACATTTTCACCTCTTACTTCAAGTTCCTTCCTTTCTTCTTCCTCGACTTCTTTGCTAAACTTTTTTAAAGGTCGCTATTTGGCGACTTAACCAAATTTGTCATTCTCTTCACAGTCAACCATACAATTCTTATATTGTTTGTTCAGAGAATTTAGTATTGGAACAACTAGTTATCCCCAAATTGATATTTTTCTTTATTATTATCACTTATCTGGTTAATATTATATTGATATTGTAAGGAAAAATTCTGTCTTGGTCACTCATGGGAGTTAAAGCGTTAAAATCACGAAATGTTTGCCAGAAATGGAGAAAGAAAGGAAGAAAGCAGAGAAAGAAATTTTGTGTAAGATTGAATTTGAGCACCACAGTTTCTTCCTGCTGGCCATGATGACCAAATGACCGCAGTGTGAGGCCCTGTGTCCCATTAATAATTGATGTTGCCCCTTGTTAAAGGGGCTACACGTAGCATAAACCATGAATTTGGAGACAATTCATAATAATTAATACATTATTTTGCTCGGAAATATTCATCTTTGTAGTTCGTTTTTCAGAAGTTATCTATCTAGTTTTATCGTCTACATGTACTAATGCCCTCTTTGATTCTCTTCAGGTGGCTTATGTTTTTGACAATGAGTTTACTGTGGTTTTTGCCATTTTTATGTCGATTTGGGGTGAGGCCTTTTTTTATTTTTAAGAATAATTGCTTGTGTAGTAAACTGTGTCAGACCCCGAGGCTCTATTGTTGACAGCTGTACAATTCATAAATGGCTAGCACGTGGAACCTTAAGTCTAAATGTTTAAGCCCTGGTGTGGTCATTATATTGAGTTGTTGGGCGAGATGATTCACTCTGAGAATGCTTCTCTCCACCCGGGAGTATATACTTATTGGCAACGCTGAATAGTCAAAGAAACTTGACAGAATGTTTGGGCAACTTGTACTGAACCATCCCGTTCAAGAGTTGAAAAAATAGCTAATGGATTGATTACCGAACATTTCATAAATAGGATCATTTTGTCTGTGACTTTCACAGAAAGGAAACTTTGATTTTCTTTCAGGGTCGTAATGTTAATGCAATACTTTGCTGATGATCATGTGTGTATTTGTTACACAGCCACCATGTTTCTTGAGTTTTGGAAGAGGCGGCAAGCAGAGATTGCTTACGAATGGGATCTATTGGGATATGAGGACGAAGAGGTACGATATTAATTAATCAATCAATGTATTTATTTATGACCTTTGTTAATTATTTGTAAGAAGGCAAAGATTAGGCTTGGCAAGGTAAGCTTATGCCGTTTAGGATTTATCCAGGAACAAAAAACCACACTACTTACTTCTCCGTGTCGATTTTTCTTTCGTTTTGTGAATGGTGCTTTAAATGTAAACGTTTTTGTTGATATTGTTGCATGTTATAAGCAATTAATATTAATCTCACGAATCTCTGAACTGTGTTCGTTTGAACTCAAGGTACAGTTTATTACTTAAAAAGACTCGGAAAAACTTGACCGTCAATCCTGTTCAGTGTGTTTTTCATTTGACCATCTTTCCATAAATGTACAAGCTCCAATTCATTATTCTGTTTTAGGAACAACCTCGTCCCGAGTACGAGGCAGTAGCGATGGAGACCCGTTTGAACCCCATCACGAAAGTGGAAGAGCCTTTCATATCGCTTGGGAGGAAAGTGCCCAGATTTATTTGTAGTTTCAGTTTCATCATCTTCATGGTAAGAACTGGATAATGTTTAATAAGGCTCAATGTGATTTTGGCCAGGTTTAAACCGAGATAATGCAGCAGTTTCACCAGAGCCTCCCAAGGGCATTGATGTGCATTACTACCTTACTGCTTTGTTTCCTTCCTTCCTTCCTTCCTTCCTTCCCTCCATCCCTCGCCCCCTCCCTCTTTTGGGTGAGTGTCCATTCCGCGCACCGGTTTGTTGGTGTTGCGTTGACAGGTGCCTGGAGGTTGGCTGCGGCTTGATTGCTGGGAGATTGCTTCCCTCCTATGGTGTCAACTGTTCGCATCCACCCACCCACCCACCACCTTGATACTATTGGGCATTGCTACTTGGACGAGGCGAAACGCTCATATTACTGCAACAATTAAACCTTTTCAAATCTAGATTTACCTGAATTCTGTAGCCCCGGCGTCTTTTGCAAGCTAGTTATAACCGACAGAAAAACTGACTTTTGGTCACCGGTATGGCTCGTAGTGTTTTAAAAGAGGATAAGAGGTGCAACAGCGAAGTTCTGAATTTTGATCTATAGTATTATGGTCTTTGTATCGCAGCTGGCGCTTGTCGTCATCGCCGTGTTTGCTGTTGTAGTATACCGTGTTGCAGTATACGCGGTGTTAGCCGCAAGCAGCGACTACAACATGGGAGCTGTAAACATGGCCACGTCCGGCACTGCAGCTCTCCTAAATCTCATTACCATCATGCTCCTCAACAAGGTACCCGCATAAACTTATCTTTTTCTATGGAGACGGTACACAACTAGTAAACATCTTGAGGTAAATTTTTGTTGTCTGCCCTCTCATGTAGATGTTCGTTTGCGACTGTTACACAGCAATGGTTCCTACTTGAATGTGCAGATATTAGTTAACCCTTTAACTCCCAGAAGTGATGAACATGTAACCTCTCAATCAGATCTTGGGAGTTAGAGGATTAAAAGTAGAAGTTCAGCGGATGGTTTTATACCTTGGAGTAACAACTGATCATTTAGTGTGATCCTCTGGTGACTTCTTTTTGTTAATTACATTATTTTATCTCCAGGTTTACGAAAAACTTGCTGAGATTTTGACACGATGGGGTACGAGTGTAGAAAATGAATTGACCTTCATTCATGCTTTAAGCTATTAACCACTCTACTGATATTGAATCATCAGTGCATCCGATCTTTCAACTGACCTTAACCGTACTACTGTACTCGTGCACGTTGTGGTCATTACACATTACATAAGAATTTTTAAATTTAAAATTAGTAGCCGAATCCTTCCGTACCTCTAAACTGCATTGGCATGCGGCGTCGAAAGCTAACGAAGTAGGAGGCAATAAGGATAGGGTTAAATTCATCATCTGTTTTTATTTCAGAGATGCCTCGCACCCAGACGGAGCTTGAAGACATCTTTTCATTTAAGATGTACCTTTTCCAGTTTGTGAACTTCTATTCGTCACTCTTTTATATTGCGTTTTTTAAACTCAGGTGAGTTTATGTCATGAGTAATCTAATGGCAACAATGGTAAAAAAGTTACTTAGAGTTCTCCTAAGAAAGAAAACTCAAAATCGTAGACATTTTCGATTGTCTGGGATGACTGACGACAAATCGGTTAAATCGAGAGCGCTTTTTTTTTACTGACGCAACCCAGATTTTTGCGATGATCCGCGATTACTGAAGGTTAATGAAAACTCCTATTTTGAACTGTCGTTAGTTTTAATTTGCTACCATTCCTTGGCTTCTGTAGCCTCGAGTCCCAAATGAAGTGGTGTCTGTTCTATTTTTCGCCAACCATCTGACAATCGGAATGTCTACGATTTCAAGTTTCATTAATTAGAAAACTCTGGAATCATCGAGAAATATTGAAATCACCGACTTTCCGGGATTTTTCCCGCCAGCCTTAAGTGTCATTGTTTTTCTCACGATTTAGGCTCTTCGAATGACATGCAGATCGTGATCTTCCCTCACCCATTTGCTGTTGCACGGTTCTGCTGTTGTCTTGTTTCTTTGTGATGCTGTGTTGTGATACTGACGATCAAAAACAACAACAGGAGAGCCGTGTTACAGCGAATCTTCGAAACGCGCTAAGCTGTTGAGAAACAGCCCACCAAATAAAAACATCTTCAGAAAAATAGTTTTACATAATTACCAGTAGGAACTTTTATCTATTTACATAGAAGCGTTAAACACATTAAAAATTGTTTGGCATCACAGCGGTAGAATGAACGTATTGAATCATATTTTGAGAATATTTTCAACTGACAATTATAAGTTATCTGTTTAGGGTGAGACAGATTTTTTATGCATAATTTTAAAAATGGTAATGAACAGACCTACGGGGACAACAATTTTCGTCCCTCTGGAAGAAAGAACTGCGCTGACAAAAAAAAATTTTTGTTTTCAGCCCTGGAAGGCCAGCAGAATTTAACAGGATATTTGGTTTTCGACAAGAAGAGGTAAGAAAAAGTATTCGATGTGTTAAGTTTTTTTTTTTGTGACAGTTTAGGGTATTTAAAGCTGCATTGGGTTAATCAGACGGTACTGTCGTCAAAAATTTGCGAGAAAAGGAAGGAAAGATCGTCTTTAGACATTGTTTGTAATTGAAGTAAATAATGTTTTTCGCCTTTGGTCCCATTAGTTGGACCAGTTTAAAAAGGACGCGTTTGATTAGAATTTATATCGTAAGGATGTATGTGATGTTCGTTAAATTTGACAATGCAAGGTTTGCCGACTTTGAAATAGTTGCTTTAACAATTTGAATCTTATTTTTGACTTTTTTACCTCCTTTGGACAATATTAGTTCATTTCAATCAGAAAATAGAAAGTAAAATAAGGCATAAAAGTAACTGAAAATATCTTTCAAACATAGAGCAGTTGTAAAGGAGAATTCTGAGTTCATTTTCATGTTGTTCTGGCAGTGTAATCCGGCAGGTTGTTTATTTGAGCTCCTGGTCCAGCTGGCAGTTATCATGGTTGGAAAGCAGATCTTCAATAATTTTATTGAAATAATCGTCCCGTAAGTAGCCCGTAAAGAGATGAGGTACATTTTTAACGTTCCCGCTTTTTGAGACTTCGTTGGACTTAAGGCAGGTTTTAGAAAATTACACATTTATGGACATTTACGTATTCTAATGTAATAACAGTTTACTGTTAACTAGGAGTATTTACGTTCTGCTCGATATACTTGGACTGTTTTGCAATACGACATACATAAAGGTGTAATAGCTTATTGGAGAAGCACATTTATAGCGTAAGTGAAACACAGGTACAGTAATCAGAAAACCGGAATCGCTGAAAAAAAAAAATCAGGGAATGTATTTGTATAGGTAATCACATGATTTCGAGTGCAATTTGGAATAAATAAGCACGAGTAAATTTTTTCAAAGACTGACAAAATTGCACGAGCCCGTAGGGCGAGTGCAATTTGTGGTCTTTGAAAAACTTAACAAGTGCTTATTTATTCCAAATTGCACGAGAAAAATCATGGGATTACGTGTTAATAATAGACATGAAAAAATACGAGATGGCTTATCATAACCAAGCAGAAGCAAAGCGCGCGCATCAAGAGCAAAAATAATTTATTCAAACCGTGCGTTCGGTCAAAACAACAATGTACGATCAAAACAATAATATGCGATGATATCTTCACATCTTTAAGGCGCAAAAAAATTCAAAGTCCGGCTAAACAGTTCAAGGAATTGTTCAGTCTGTTTCCGAATCACTTTCGATGAAATGGAATCGTCGTTTTCGAGGTTTAACCATGTTTGTTTTTAATTTCGGCGTTGGATCGCTCGAGCAAAGTGTTAAGCTAGGTCGGCTTGTCATTTTTTATTTCCTTGGCAATTCCCTTCTCTAAAAACCACTTTTTCCAGACCGAAACCAAAAACAGTGCTTTTTACAGTGTTTTGGTTGTCTGAGCTGTTTTCAGCTGCGGTGGCGAAAGAAAACCTACTTAAAAAGCAGGCCATTGTTTCGCTCGCAAATTTTCAAATTTTCAAATTTTGTTGCGACATCGAAGGCTCTCATTTGACTGGCTATCTATGAGTTTCTTTGATTATTGACCAATCAGAATGTTTGATTTGTTACTTTCTTTGCACTGAATTAACCCTCTTCTGCACTGAATTAACTCTCTTCTGCACTGAATTACCTGAAAACTGCATTTATCTTGTCCAATCAGAACTGAGAAATTTTTCCATGTATATTATTATTGTGGGAACATGCTCCAAACACATTTTACAGTGAAATAATACTTTTAATTGTTTAGTCCTGTAAAACAGTATTTCACAGGCCAAGTCACTCATTCTGCGAACGTTTTGGATTAATAATATTTTGACTCAAATTTCAAATGAGTGGGATGATCATTTGAGTAAGCACTCCTATTTTTTCATCATCATCATCATCACCACCACCACCACCATCATCATCATCTTCATTATTATTATTATTATTATTATTATTATTGCTGTAGTTGATATCGTCACCATTATTATTATTATTATTATCACTATGGTCTCTTTTATTCCTGAAAATAGAGGATATTACATGGCCGCGCGAAGATAATTAATTCTGTTCGAGTGTTGGGAAACATTTCACGAGTGAGCGAAACGAACGAGAGAAATATTTTTCAACGCGTGAAGAGAAATTTCGTAGCTCCAAGCGGCCTTGTAATAGTATAATCATAGTATCGGTATTGTTTCCACGTGTAAAGAGAAACATGTTATCTTCACGTATGAAGATATCATGTTTTCGCGCGAAAACTCACTTGGTATTTGACTGAGGTTTATATTATTATTATAATTATTTTCCACAGAAAGCTTCAGAACCGGTGGAGACGCCGTCAGAATATTGAAACCCCCGACTTGACCGAATACACACGTTGGGAACTGGACTATGACTTGACTCAGTATCCCGTGCACGGGTTGTTTTATGAATACCTTGAGATGGGTAAGAACTGCGCAGCTTGTACGGTTGAGCTAAGGAGATGGTTGAGATTTTACCGGTTATAAACTCTGTTTTGTTTTTTTTTGTTTTTTGTTTTTTTTTGTTTTTGTTTTTTCCAGTGATCCAGTATGGCTTTGTGACACTATTTGTGGCCGCCTTTCCACTTGGACCGTTCTTTGCCCTCATCAATAACTTGTTGGAAATTCGTCTTGATGCTTACAAGTTTATCGTGGTTTTTCAGCGCCCAATGGCAGCTCGTGCGCAGGATATAGGTATGCGTTATATGAAGAGAGGGCCGATTATTTTTCTTGGTCTTAAACATTTTTTATTAATTGAAATTCTATTTAGGAACTACCGAATAGAACACTTGAAAAAAAAAACCTTTTGTTTTCACAGGAATTTGGTACGCAATCTTGAAAGGCGTTACGAAGATCTCTGTGGTCGTAAATGTAAGAATCTATTTAACAAAGTTGTGCGTTTTTGAATATTATTTCTTTAAGGATTGAAAAACGGAAAATAAACAGAGAAAAATTACTTGGGCGACAGATTCAGTTACAAACACAGTTGTTTTTTTCCCCCAATTTTATCGAATAAAGAAAAAATTAATGAGACAGTTTTTCCCATGTTCGAGCAAAAAAGGTTGGTCCTGACTTAAATCAAATAACAATAATATAGTCAAATTTGGTCACCTGGTGGTAGTTATTGACCTGTAAGAGCTAAAAATGAAGGATTTCCTAATAGGATGAGATATTTCATTGCTTTGGTAACTTGCAAATTCAAGCGGACAGACAATGATTTAGCATGTTCTACAAGGACCGCTCATTTTGCTTGAAAACAGTTTGTATTCAAAAGAACTTGAGCAATAGTATTGCCTCATTAATCGTACGTGCTGCATGCTGCGGTTCGAGTCACTTTAGTTGAAGGAAGCATACTTGAATAATTTGAATCAGCGATTTAAAGAGCAGAATACAGCAGAGAGTTATCTCTTTGTTCTACCTGTTGTCAAAGGTGAAAAACATGTCGTACTCGGCGTTTTGATTTAAAACCAAAGAGAACTTATTGTAAGGAAAGCCACAATGTATGATCACGGTAACTTGTTTTTTTCTACCCTTTTGTTTAGGGCTTTGTGATTGCCTTTGTTTCCGAATTCGTCCCTAGACTGTATTACACCCTAGGTGAACACAACGACAGCTTGGAAGGATTTGTAAACCACACCTTGTCGTGTTTTTGCGGTGGATGATTTTCCTGAGTCTGAGAGACCTTCTGGAGCTGCTGCTGTTGAGTTCCCCTAAGAATTAACAGTTGTGGGTTTAATTTATCTACCTGCAGGTAAAATAACAAGGAGGGTTCTGTTTTATGGTTTAGTTCTTGCAGAAAAAAATCGCCCTTTACTGATTAGTGTACTGATTCATTAATTTGTCAAAGCTTGCTGGACGCTTGGTGACACTATTGTAAGAATCATAAGTCATCCATTATAACTCAAGTTTTAAAGGTCTTGTGTGCTTGCATTTTAGATTCCGAGGGTATTATGAACGACCAAAAATTACAATACTCAACACGACCCTTCCAAATCCGAATGCTTACAAGTTCTCGACAGCCTATTGGCATATTTTGGCGGCCAAGCTGTTTTTTGTGGTTGCCTTTCTGGTGAGTTTGTGTCCACTTTTAATTGTGGGACGCTCGTTATGATACACCTGATGGGATACTGAGAATCGGAGTATTTTCCTACAAATAGAATTGTTGGTGGAGATTACTGCAGTAATGTTGTAAAAAGAAGATTCCACCCTATCTGTGTTCCTCTCTGTTTCCTAGTTGATCTTTGTAGCAGTTCTGTGAAACATTTAAAATTGACCAACCAAAAAAAAAAACGGTTCAGTTGAAGAAACCTACCTACCATCTAATATTTCTTCTTGTGTTTGGCTGATAGTCTTATTAATTTGTTATTTTGTGCAGCACATCGTGTTCGGTATGACGGCAATCTTGGCTTGGATTATCCCCGATGTTCCGAAGGAAGTTGACAATCAAGTCAAGAGAGAGAACTTTCTTGCCCGCGAAGCCTTACGGTCAGCAGATCAACAAGATTCTGTCTCTCCAGTCCCTAGGGAAAATTCGCGTGGCCAGGATGAAATGTTGTGAAATGTTGTAGAATGTCGTGTTTTGACAGAAATTATCTCGTAGTCAACGACCTGTAACTGATATCGGTATAGGTAGTTAAATTTGATAATACCACCGTCGCATATTTTGAATAATTTCTTGTTGGAAACGTAAGGCAAAATTCGAAAATCTTCACCAAAAGCCAGTGCTTGTCACCAGCTGCGTGTCATAGCTCGCTGACCCATACGATTGATAGTCTTCATTTATAAACTCAGTTTAATCTTTCGAATACCGAAAGGTCAGTACATGTCTGTTTTATATAGAATAAAGGGTGTACGTTTTACGTCGGTGGGAGAGTATAGCAGGTAATTTAGTGTTAACAACTGAGTTGAAAATGTAAATTGGCCACCGTAAAGAGTGAAAAAGCTGACATTGCGAGCGTTAGTCCTTCGTCAGAGCGATGGCGAAGGGCTAGCGCTCGAAACGTTCTGACGATCTGACTGAAGGGCTAACGCTCGAAACGTCAGCTTTTTTACTCTTTACGGTGGCCAATTTACGTTTTCAACTCAGTTGTTAACACAAAATTACCTGTTTTACATAGATCAGCTTTCTACTTAAATAGTGTAAAACTTTATAGTAAGACTAACACCGTACAAGATTAATAATTTGTATTCATAGTTGGTTTGTGTGGTGACTTAATATGCGAGTAAGGTAACGTGAAATTGCCGTAGGGAACGAACTACTTTTCTTTTGATTCTCAGGTTCGTTTCTTTAGCCTCAACTGAAAGACCTCGAGAATTTAGGACACTTGCTAATACAAAGCTTTTCTATTCCTTCATTACTTATCACACCTTATGTTTACCGGCATTGAGTGGCTTTAAGAGAATATCAGGTATTTTGGTTGTTTGGGATACAATATTTATTTTTCCAGTGAAGCCATCCAAATACGTTGATGCCGTGCTAAGGTAAAGGAGTAAGGATAGATCCATCCCGGACTTGTTTGTAACAGTAATCAAAATAAACTGTTAGGCAATACAGACTTTGTAACAGTAGTCAAAATAAACTGCTAGGCAATACAGACTTTGTAACAGTAATCAAAATAAACGCCTGCTATGATTTTGTCAATTTTCCTACAGACGTTTGTTTGAGTCACAACATAAAACGCCAACTGCGTAAAACTAAGTCATCCTTGGATTAGTTTTAAAACTAAGGTTTTAAAACTAAGTTCCGATGCCTGAACTAGGAGAAATGAAAATTAAAGGGTGTATGTACTCCTGTAGAGCGGCTAGTAATGGCGGGATTAATCAACTAAAAAACCTTAAAGACAGAGCTGAGTGGGTAAGGAGGGAGTTTCTCTCATAGAACTCCGTGGGTTGTCTCGGGGTATCTTAAGGTGGGCACGAGACTTGCAGGGGTCAATGGAAATAGCAAAGCAGCTTTGCACTTTCGTCTCATCAATGTACTTCTGATTTAGTAGGATACGCTGGTTAATTCTCAGTACACCTTTTTTTTTTATTTTTTTAATCCATACAGACTCGATGTAGATTGGAGAAGAGCAAAGTACTGTTATTATCACGCCTGAGCTTAACAATCATTCCATGTGCCAATTCTAGGTTGCCAGTTACTTTTACTTAATTTTTTTAGTTTTTTTTGTTTGTTTGATTGATTTTTGTTGTTGGTTTTTTATGCGTTTTACAGTTTTAAGTCTGATAATCCGTCCCGCTCTCAAGATATTACCGAAACTTTCTTCACTTTTTCCATGAAAGGGAAGTCGCATTCGGTCGAATATAAATCTTAGGCCCCCCCTTTTGTTCCGACAGACGGTCCACAAATAAACTCCTTACTTCTGCTTCTACCTCATTGCAAATCAGATGGTAGTGTGTTGTCTTTATCACTATTCGCAAAGTAACAAGTCATTTCTAGAAGGCAAAGTAACTTAAACTCTCTCGACGGTTTTATTGATAATCATGTGGTTTAACAGCGTTGCTTACTTAATCACGATTACAATCTCATTGTCCATACATCTTTAAGCCTCTCTGTTGTTTGTTTGTCACAAACGTTTTCACCTTGTTTCAGGAATGTATGTTACTTTTCCAGAGACGGCTTCTAATCGGTGCTACAAAATTTTTCTAAAACCTGATCTTTTTTTCATTGTAAGCAAAAGCAATACATGAAATTTTATTTGACGAGAGAGAAGATTAAAATAGACCAGTATAATGGAACTCGGAAACATGCAAGAAAAAGAACCTCAACCGTCTCCTACCAACATATTGTGTATACATGTTGCAAATACTAAATGCTAAAGCAACTTCTAAGTAAAACAAGAGATAATTACGTGTCTAGGTATCTTTGTATTCAGCGAGTGTTTTTTTTTTTCCAATTTTACCGTAGTCTTTACGATCCTGTGGAGTAACTGAACTTTTTTTTCTGTTTAGTTTTGCTGTCTTTTCTCGCTATCTGCTTATTCCAGCTCGAAACTACAAATCTAAGTGCTACATAGAATATTTATAATTATATTTAAGTTAAGTCACTGCCTGTGTCATATCAAGTGGTTTTACTGCTCTGGTTTAGCTGGGACGTTCTTGCTCTCATCATCCTCACCCATTGTGTCTCGGTATTCTTTAGCTTCCTCAAATGTTTCTTTACAGAGAGCAGATGGTTCATCTGGAGCGATCTTACGTTCCTCTTCTTCTTCTTCCTTTTCTTCTTCTTCTTCTTCTTCTTCTTCTTCTTCTTCTTCTTCTTCTTCTTCCTTTTCCTCTTCTTCTTCTTCTTCTTCTTCTTCTTCTTCCTTTTCTTCTTCTTCTTCTTCTTCTTCTTCTTCCTTATCTTCTTCTTCTTCTTCTTCTTCTTCCTTTTCTTTTTCTTCTTCTTTCTCTTTTTCTTCTCTCTTGTTGTCTTCGTGTTCAATAGCTTCTTCGCTGGTTTCCTTCAAAGGAGTTGGTGGTTTGGTTTTAAATTCAACGGCCTCTTTTTCTTCTTCACCCTCAAAGGAAGTTGATGGTTGTTCTGTGGAAGCTGCCTGTTGTCCTTCCTTGTCCTGTTCAGAATCCTGCTTTTGTTCTGATTTGAAACAGAAGGAAACAAAACCTTGATATTTGTTAATCGGTAAGTTGATTGATTAGTCAATCGGTAAGACAATTGGTTAATTTGGTATTGAAAACGTAATTTGGAGTTGAAAAATATAAGTAGTTGAACTAAAAACTACAAAGGTGGCTTTGGCGTAAATTAAAAAGACAAAAATTAAGAAGTGGTGATGACTTATGAACCGCTTTAAAACTGATTTGGTACAAGGAAAACTTTACCTTGTCCATAAGTCATAGTTTGGACTGCATTATCTCGTGGTCCTTTGTATGGATGAACTGAAATGGATAAAAACAGATTAAGATTAATTTTCTCGTTAGCAATCAATGTATTAGCTCCGAATGAAAATATTGATGACATTAAGATTTCCTTTCCATGACAGAGATGAACAAAGTGAGCATCCAAGCACCTCTTTCTTGGGAAAAATGATGACCCCTCAGATCTTTTCTTGATAGAAGTCTTAGCGCAATGCTTTCGGGGTCCTCTCAGGTTCGTTTCGTTTAACTCTCTGTAGGTTTTACCACTAATACTTACTATTTTCTGAAAGAGCATTCAAGGCTATGTCCTTTGATACAGACTCTCAGAGAACGACTCACCTTCCACAACAACCATTTGCAAATTTCCTCCATTGCCCTCATCTTCGTCTTTTTCTGCTTGAACAACAAAATGGTATCAAATTATCCAACAGAAATATTCTTAAATGTTCACAGTACATTATCCCTTATCCAACGCTAGTTGAAAAAATTTATATTCACGATCGAGTGTGACATGTGTCACAATAAGCAGTCTAACAAAAATAAAATTTCTTTAAAAAAGCACCTTCTCCGCCAATCAACAAATGTACTTCTTCTTCTTGAGCTGCAAATATCGAACACAACAAATAAGTGACATCTACTTCAGGATAACAGTTAAACTTTGTGTGTTTATTTCATAGCTGTTCCAACACATTTAAGTTAGGCTAAGGTAAAGTCATATTCATTCTCTACCCTATTGGCCCACGAGGCGGCGAAGTTGTTCCGGGTTTCCTTTGCATGCAACAATCATTCTGATTCATCGCAGGTCACCCGCCTTTCCCCCCTTATTAAAATATTCGTCGAGTTTTGTTAATTAAAAAAGCCAAAAAAAATTGTGAATTATGGCAAAAAAAAAAAAAACTGATCAACAGACAAAACCTTTTTGGGAACTCCACGTTAAAAGATCAAATGAGGCATATCCATCTTTTTAATCTAAGTACTTCATTGCGATAATAAAGACAATGTTGGGTCTTGTTTGTTGTAATACCTGCTTCAGCCGGCAGCACGTGTTCTTCCTCGCTAACTTGGCCTGCACCTAACAGAAAATGAATCAGTTGTTTCTATTTCTTTATTGTTTTTGCAACTCATTAATGGGAGTTCTTCTTCAAGTTCTTCCAATATCGTTAAGGAAAAAACAGATAAAGGTGTTACCACCTAGTTTGAGTTGGTTACCAGTGGTTTCGTACCGGCTCACGGTCGTTTCATACCCGGTCGATTCGTATCCAGTCAGTTGAGTTGTTTAGTACCCAGCTCGGTCGTTTCGTACCAATACTAATAAAGTATACTGTTAATGTCAAGTATGTTTAAAGTGAGGTCTCTTATTTTAAATAGCGATACAACTTGTGCAAAACAAGTTTTGTTAATGTGGCATCCATTCTTACTACACGACCGCCAAAGGTATATTGAATAAATAAATAAAGCTATAAAGAAAATTAAAGAATAAAAAGTTTTCTTTTTGGTCCTTCATCCATTATTTTGACATAAATCAGCTTCCTAACTAATGTATCTTGTATTCATAGATTATTCTTTTTGGTTTGTCGGGATAAATGCCAAAGATCAATTTAACAGAAGTTACCTTGCTCTGGATCTGCTTGTCCAAGTTGCACCATTTCCACCATTTCAAGCATTCCATCGTCTCCCTGTTCCTGATCTACCGTGACCAATCAACATACATGTACAATAAATATTCATATTTATACATGTATACGTGTGAACTTATATATATATATATATATATATATATATATATATATATATATATATATATATGTATGCTCATATAATCTAACATGCTGTGAATACTCTAAAAGTGACCTTGGATAAGTTCTTATTATATTTACTGAGCTTTTCCATTGATGCGATAATGTGAAAAATAATGGCAATTGAACTGAGTGGAGTACAATTTGGGCTGAAATCATACGTGTGATTTCAAAATCAACCGAGCGCATAGCGCGAGTTCGATTTGAAATCACAAGTATGATTTCAGACCAAAATTGCACGGCACAAGGTTCAATTACCACTTTATTACATCCATTTTGAAAAACAAGAGTTTTGGAAACAAAGGTTGCAAAATTTGCCACATGATACTCTTCGTCTTTCATTTTCCTGCAATTAGATTGGTTACTTTATACAAGCCTTGAAATCTGATTGGTTGTTTTGTTTTCAGCATAGCCTCCTCATTGGCCGGTAAAATGATGCGATTTAAAGCAAGAAATGGTGCACCAATCAGAGCTAATCAAATTACAAGGACCACCAGTGATTTCAAAATGGATGTAATCAAGTTTCTAATTCCATTAATTGCACTGAGCCATATTATTTTCAGGCAAACTGATATGAGCTTTTCTTTCTTATCACAAAAATATGATACCTCCCACCTATATAGTGACTTAACAGTGACCAGGGAAAATGGTAAACCTTACCTTGATGATCTTGTTGTTTTTTACAGCAAGAGAAAAAGCTGCGCACATGGTTCATCAAAACTCGCAGTTTAGGTCGCAATATGCCCTGCACCTATTAGGGGAATGAAATGTGAATATTTCATTAAATCTGTATAAATTAAGATAGAATATGATAGAGAGTTTACAAATGTAACTTTCATAAACAGTGATAAAGCTTATCATACAATTTAAACACAAGGAGAGCCGATTGCTAGAATCAGCCTGTTAAGTTGCATGGCCATTTATCGAGTTCTGATATTTTCAAATGCCTCAACATGAACTATGAGAAACTGTTCAAGTAGCTTTCAGAAATTTCATGGGCAGATATTTGTAATAATATTTTTCAAGGAGCGGGAAATTTTTGTGTGAAACAAATCATTTTGAAATTCAATGTCATTTGTTCATTTGCAATCGCAACATTTGATAAGCTACCCACTTCTTTCTTTTATGAACAAATTCTCCCACTGGACGATAATTCCACGATAAAGTTTTTTCCTAGGAAGCCTACGAAGTATATCTTTCATTACCACTTTTAAGCATTCCGCGAGAATACGTAATTAACGCATAAACACGGTGGAGTAATACGTCATTGCACTTTACTAATTTACGTCCCTGACATACCTGAGGGGTTGATAGGGTGTAGATAATTGGATTCAAGGCTGAGTTAATTGGCAGCACAAACACGGCGATCCAGGCAGGAAGATCTCCTCGGGGACTGTAATCTTTTTCAACCAAAGACCTGATGCCCATGACTATTATCGGCATCCAACAGGCGCAATCTGTGAGGATGATAAAGAAGACTCTTTTGGCCAATGCTCTCTCCCTTCTGGAACTTGCGTTCTTCTTTCTTGCCTGCACCTCTCGTCGGGTTCCCTCCCTTGCAAGCTGACGGCTGGAGCGATAACTTTTAAGGAAAATTGCGACATAGGCCACCGTCATGAACAGGAAGAGGAGGAAGTTTAACCCGACAAAGATAGCGATGGAGAACTCCCAACCAGCTGGAAACCTGTTGGACAGCTGCAGTGGGAGGCACACAACGGAACGTCCGTAGTAGGCAGGGCGCTCTAGGGCGTCATAAAAGTAGCCAATGCCACTGAGGGGAAGGAATGCGATGACAAAACTAAGGACCCAAATAATCGCGCACAGAATGTGTGCCTTCCTGCGAGTCAGCCCTCTGCCACGGTATGGGAAAACGATGTTCTTCAGCCTGTCAGCAGAGATGAGCGCCAGTACCATTACAGACACCTCACTGGACAGCACTGAGATCGCACCTATAACCTGACACGACAAACCGGATCGCCACTGGAAGTCATGCAGATAGTAACTTCCCGACCATAACAGGTCTTTGGCACCTAAGGTGACCAAGTAAACGCCCATCAAGCAATCCCCAACTGCTAAGTGCATTAACATGATAAGCTGGACTACGTTTCTCTCTTTAAAGATTAGACGCCACACAATTACGAACACAGCACCAAGCAAAGAAAGGATTCCGATTGCCCAAATACTTTTACGTGGAGCTGAGTCGCGGAACATGCTCTCGCAACTGGCGAAGCTGTCGTCGTATAAAGCGGTGCATTGGGCGTCTTCTTTTGTCAGATGACAACACATAAGACTGGTGTCCACTATCCTATAATCCATAATGTAGAGGGCAAATACATATGGATAAAAACGCAAAACATATGTTGTCACTCACACTGAAAGGTCATGATCAAAATATGGGGTATAATTTATTTTCCAGGTTGCTGTTGGCTCAATCTAGGGATAGTGAATCGAATGGTCTTTGAGGCACCAAACTTTCCGCTGATTTTGAAGCTAAGTGAGGTAGGCTGTGATTATATGGGGCCTCAAAAAAGGAAAAAGGAAACCATATAATTGCAAAAGATTGTAACTTCAACAACAATCTCTGTATAGCTACAAGTTTTCAGTAGGTTAAACTGACCTAAACCAGCTAAATATTTGCGGAGTCAGTATTGCAGGAAACTTGAAACATAATATAATATAATATTGTACGTTTCACTGACCATTAAAAAAAACTTACACTTTAATGATGTCCTTCATTCCATCGAAAAACCCGTTAGGAAGCTCAGACATTTCGTTATTTTGCATATTCCTAAAAATAAAAAAAGGCTACCATCGATAAATAGGTATGGATAAGAAATTGAAACTACACCGTGATGTCAAAACGTGTGCCCCCTTGTTGCGTGTTTAAATTATGTTTAAACGTCGTGAAGATTCATCCTTTTTTATAGCCCAACGTCTCCGGATTCCAGTCTAAATCGATCTCGGAACAAACCATGAGGTTTGTGTAAACTGGCGATCCCGATTTCTTTAAAGGTGCCTCTCGCTCTGTGCTCGCAATAAATACCTGTAATCTTTTCTTAAAAATAAGCCCGTTAAGTTTTTTTACTGTACCATTGTACCAGCGACATACTAACTGCAGTAGGTGAAAATTCGCTAGAATTCAAGCAGTTTAGTCGTTAACTCTTTCATTCCCAAGATCACATTAATCATTCTGCCTTCCATTCAGTCATTCTATTGTTAGTTTGGAGAATTTGGTGCAGGATCAACAAATAATCCCCTAACTGATGTGTTCCCTATCCCATCACTTTTCTCTTTGATATTGTATTAATATTGTAGGGAGAAATGCTTTCTTGGTCACTCGTTGGAGTTAAAGGGTTAAAAAAGTCTTTTCAGGATCCTCTTGTAAGTTAAACGACAACAACTAAAACAGAGTAAATACGGTTTCTCTGTATTTTTGATGCAAAAAATATAAAGCTAGCGCTAGAACATCATGTTCCTATTTCATGATTTTCAATTTAAAAGTGTGTTTATTTACAGGAAGTCATTGTTATAAACCAATTTTCATTTTTAGTAAGCCCAGTAGGATCCAGTGGGCTTTAAGATATAATGTGGTGGTCTAATGATGAATTCATCAGTGGGTATATGCTTACAAAATAACCAAATTTGGAAGGTCCCTAAAGTTTTCGTTGGTGACACCGGGAATCTTGTTATCAGAAATAGTGCTGTGGAGAAAAAAAATCGGCGTTAGGAAGTAAAAAGTCACAGCTGTAATATCCACCATAATATGAGGTAAGGGCAACTGCTCACGGGAAAGTCTTATGTGGTGTGATGTTTCGTGGATCATTTGTTATGATGTGAATTAATAAAGAGTGGTTTTGCAGGGTATGACTGGAATGTTGAGGTATTGTGTGGTGCAGTATGACATGGTAAAGTGTGATGTAATGTGCCTTGGTGTTCTTTTTGATGATACAGTGTGCTCTGGTGTTATATGACATGGAAAAGTGTGGTATGATGTGCTGCAGTGTGCGTTTTCATGATATGGTGTGCTGTGGTGTGGTATGACATGATAAAGTAAGATATGACGTGTTGCGGTGTTCCTTCTCATGATATGGTAAGCTGTGGTGTGGTATGACATGATAAGGTGTGATGTGATGTGTTGCAGTGTTCCTTATCATGATTTGGTTGGCTGTGGTGTGGTATGACTTGGTAAAGTGTGATGTGATGTGTTGCCGTGTTCCTTCTCATGATATGGAGTGCCATGGTGTGATATGACATGGCAAAGTGTGATGTGATGTGTTGCGGTGTTCCCTCTCGTGATATGGTGTGCTGCGGTGTTCGTTTTCATGATATGGTGTGCTGTGGTGCGGTGTGGTATGACATGATAAAGTGTGATGTGATGTGTTGTAGTGTTCCTTCTCATGATATGGTGTGATGTGGTGTGGCATGACATAATAAAATGCGATGTGATGTGTTGCAGTGTTCCTTCTCATGCTATGGTGTGCTGTGGTGTGGTACTACATGGTAAAGTGTGATGTGATGTGTTGCAGTGTTCCTTCTCATGGTGTGGTGTGCTGTGGGGTAGTATGACATAGTAAAGTGTGATGCGATGTGATGCGATATGTTATAGTGTTCTTTTTTATGATGACGTGTGGTACTGTATGAGATAGTAAGGCGTGTCTTTTGTTGAGGGTTTCAGAAATTATAAAGTTTGAGCAATGTTGTAGGTTTCAAAATGATGCGATGTGCTGTAATTCAATGGGGAAAAGTGTGGATATGAGATGGTTTATGTGGTCCTTAGTAATCTACATGTAGTGTGGTCTGCAATGTCAAAGTATGATTTGGCATCGTATAGCATCGTATGATATGGAGTGCTTCTTGAGATAGTAAGGTATGTCTTACGTTGAGGGTTTCAGAAATTATAAAGTTTGAGCAGTATTGAAGGTTTCAAAATGATATGATGTACTTTGATTCAATGGGGAAAAGTGTGGCCGTGAGATCGTTTATGTGATCCTCAGTAATCTACATGTGGCGTGGTCGGCAATGTCATAGTATGATATGGCATCGGATGATATGGAGTGCTTCTTAAGCGTACAAAAAAAGAAAAATCCATCGGGTGATTTTTGCAAATGTTGTACTTACAGAACCTGAAGTTTTCTCGTGCCGCTGAAAATCCCTTTGGGTAAATTCTCGATGTTATTTTCGGACAGATACCTTAAATGTAAATTATGTTTTAGATAAATGCCCAAATTTTTTTATTGGACTGGCTAGGCAAACGAATAAATGTTTATCTGTTAGAGGCATGACTTTGCACCACGGGTACGAGATGTAAACACGTGCATCAACAGGGAAACTAAATGGTAGCTACAAAGTAATAGTTACAGAGCATGAACAGACACAAAACTTGCGGATTACAACAGTTATTCAAAGTAAACCCTGGTATATCGAGCTACTGAGGCAAAGAAGATATCGTGGATCTAGAGTCAGCGGATAGTGTGATAGTAGTATCACAGACAACTCCCCGTCGTCTTGATCAGTTTTTCACCCGCGTTATCCCTTAGACTGTTTTCAAAGTAGCATATTCCAACGATATTATTTAGTACAAATGGGAGCAATTCAGTTTTGCCAGGCCCTTGATGGAGTTGTCTTTATTTTTTTTATAACAAAGAATCCGTCAAATTTCCCACGCATTACTTACTATTTTCAAAACAAATTGTAGTTTTAGAAGCAAGCAAAAGCGCCGTCAGCATGTTCTATACTCTCATGAATCAAGTTAGAATAAGCCAAATCAATAAAGTTTCAGAATCCTTGTTAGAATGGTTCAAATGATCTGATTGGTTGAATAAGACCAAAGCTGTGAAAAATGAATGTCAAACAATCAAAGTTTACAACCATCAAAGTGCACAATCTGTATTAGTTCACAAACTGAAATAGTACGTTCGGCAGGTCGAATTTAATATTGTTGCCAGAAGTTTTTCAGTTTTATAACAGAATCTTAAATTGAAATGTGCATTTAAATCCGATCTAATTATGGCTCATAAAGACACGCAAATTTTTTTTTCACATGGCAACTAGAAAACAAACTGCTGAAGTCGTATGTTTACTGAATGAACGACAGCCGAATTTACAGTTAGCCGCGATTGACCTCATCATGATCGCAGTCGCTCTGACACCGTCATGATTTACATGAATTTTAACAGTTATGCCAGTTTGGTTATGTTTTTCATGATTCCTGCTTGGTTCTATTTTATTTTAGAACACGAAACTATATATGCTATACGAGTGTTATCTATGTTTGATTTTTATTGCCGTAAGAAAGCTCACAATCTCACTGGGAGTGAAAACCTTCGAAACTCGGACTGCCCATTTCATTTTCTCTTTGAGGATTTTCGTCTCTGCTCACGTTTTTTAATAACATCAATCACGGCGCATGGCATGTTTGCAAAAAAATAGTAAACATTGGCAGATAGCGTGACAGCTTTAGCTCAGCTCCGTGTTTTGTACTCTGTTAGAACACGTTCTTTCAATCAAAGACAGCGCGCGATAGCGAGATTAAAAAATGGATTCACTTTCATATAGAAACTGAATCCAAGGAATAGTTTTACTATGCATATTTTTAAATTAGAGGACTTATTTAGGTTCGATAATGCTTTCGCGGATTACAATATGTCATTATTAAAGTAAGTGATATCTTTGAACCCAATCACAAAACTTACAGCCCGTTTAAGTTGACCAGAGTACGAAGCAAATCCCTGGGAAGGCTTTTAAGCTTGTTCTTGTCCAGTTTTCTGTGGCATATAATAAGTCAATGAAAATGCGACGAAGAAAGCTTTGGAGCACTGTGAAACATAGCATATCTCTTCAAAAATACATTTTGTGACGTCGGCGAAAACACTATTCATGGGACATTAGGTGTAGTGCTTGATGACTTACATATTTAACAGCTTGGAGAGGTTGGCAAAAATATTTCCGGGTAGTTCCTCGAGTTGATTGCCTGACAAAATCCTACGGAAAACAGGGATAGCGTAAAAGAAACTAGATACCAAGTTGAAAGTTAAGTCTAGTTTCGCTATCAACCGTTTCAGGAGGATCGAGGACTAACCTGTTGCTTATTGATTACATAGCTACTTCCGATACTTGCTTCTTCCAATCAAATGCGATTGCTTAAATCTGCTTTAACACTTTGCCTGAGGTAATTCCTCAGTTTTGCACTGTGCATCCTGTATTGCGCATAAAAATCACGTAATCAGAGGAATGAGCGCCCACACGGTATTGCTTTTCAATCTATGGATCAGGAAAAGAGGTATGATGGTCTTTAGCTCTTGAACGAGCACGGTGACCTATATATATATATATATATATATATATTTTTTTTTTTTTTTTTTTGCATAATTTTGGTGCAAAATTTTTCCACTTTAAATTGGGGAAATTAAAAAAAAATTATTCCTTAAGAAAAAAAAGATAAGGCTAAAAGCGTGCACGAAGCCCATTACTCGAGGATGCAAATTATAACCTTGAAAGGAACGACTCGAGGAACATGTTTAAATTTGCGTGATTTTCCCGAAATTACATATCAGTTGTGCCATGCGCTGGACACTTTCTACCAATCAAGATTTTTTTAAAAACCCAGTGCAGTAAAACGTACCGTTAACCGATGAAATGACGCGCGTGATTAGTACCAGTACAGGTATAAGTGGGGTAAGTTTGGCTTATCATCCAAAACAAGCATGGTGACCTATCCCTTTTATTGTAATTTCGAAAGAGACATTGGTAAGGAACGTTTAAGGAAAGTTTCAAAAAAATTACTT